TTTGGGGTGAAATTTCCTTAGCACCTTCTGCCTATCTATATCTATCTATCTATCTATCTATCTATGTTTTTTTCTTAGCAATGGGGGTCTTGCTATGTTGCCCATGCTAGTCTTTGAACTTTTGGCTTCAAGGGATCCTCCCTCCCTACCTCAGAAAGTGCTAGGATTACAGGTGTGAGCCATCACACCTGGTTATATCTAGCTGTTTTTAATCAGAAGTGCCCCAGTGACACAGTGTTATAAGCTGTAGGTGGAGGGGAAATGTTCCATGGTCTTATGATTTGGACACAGCTTTTTGGTGAGCTGTATCCTTGAAGTGTGCTTGATGTTCTGTGGTTTGATAAGAAAGACATTCAGCCTTGGCACCTGTAGCTCAGTGTCTAGGGCGCCAGCCACATACACTGGAGCTGGCAGGTTCGAATCCAGCCTGGGCCTGCTAAATAACAATGACAACAACAACCAAAAAATGGCTGGGTGCTGTGGGGTGGGCCTGTACTCCCAGCTACTTGAGAGGCTGAGGCAAGAGAATCGCTTAAACCCAAGAGTTCGAGGTTGCTGTGAGTTATGATGCCACAGCACTCTACCGAGGGCAATAGCTTGAGCCTCTATCTCCAAGGAAAAAAAAAAAAAGGAAAGACATTCAGTTTTTATGTGTGGCTCCTAGCATAGAGCTCCTAAATCCTTTGGAATGTTGTGTGCAATAAGGGTGATAGAATCTATTGTTTGTTGTGAAGATGTGATTCCTGGATCTCCAAAAGTTCAGGATGGGGATTAATAACCAGAAGATACCCTGCCTTGGACTTTTTTTTTGGAGTTTTTGACCGGGGCTGGGTTTGAACCTGCCACCTCTGGCATATGGGGCCAGTGCCATACTCCTTTGAGCCACAGGCACCACCCAACTTTTTTTTTTGAGACAGAGACTTACTTTGTTGCCGTCGGTAGAGTGCTGTAGTGTCAGCTCACAGCAACCTCTAACTCTTGGGTTCAAGTGATTCTCTTGCATCAACCTCCTGAGTAGCTGGGACTACAAACACCCAACACTATGCCCAGCTATTAATAGAGGTGGGGGTCTTTCTCTGACTCAGGCTGGTCGAGAACCTGTGAGCTCAGAGTGCTGGGATTACAGGTGTGAATCACTTTGCCCAGCCCCGTGCCTTGGACTTTCGGTCCTACTCCCAACTGCATAGAAGGGAAAAAGGGCTGGAGATTGATCTGATCACCAATGCTCAGTGATTTATCAATTGTGTCTACTTAATGAGACCTCCATAAAAGCCCCAAAATGTTGGAGTTCAGAGAAATTTTAGATTGGTGAACACATTGAAGTGTAAGTAGGGTGGCATACCCCAGGAATGCATTGAAGCTGTCTAACCCCCTCCCTGTGCTTTAACCTGTGTACCTTTTCTATTTGATTGTTCTTGAGTTAAATTCTTTATACTAAAGTGGTAATACTAAGTTACAGACTTTCTTGTATTCTGAGAGATTTGTTTTTTTGTTTTTTTCAGAGACAGAATCTCATTTTGTTGCCCTCAGTAGAGTGCTATGGCATCTCAGCTCACAGCAACCTCCAACTCTTGGGCTTAGGCGATTCTCTTGCCTCAGCCTCCTGAGTAGCTGGGACTACAGGCACCTACCACAATGCCCAGCTATTTTTTTTTTTTTTTGATGCAGTTTGGCTGGGACTGGGTTTGAACCCACCACCCTTGGTATATGGGGCTGGTGCCCTACTCACCGAGCCACAGGTGCTGCCTGATTTTTTTTTTTTTTGAGACAGAGTCTTACTATGTCACCCTTGGTAGAGTGCTGTGGTTTCACAGCTCACAGCAACCTCAATCTCTTGGGCTTAAACAATTCTCTTGTCTAAGTAGCTGGGACTACAGGCACCTGCCACAATATCCACTTATATTTTTGTTGCGGTTGTCATTGTTGATTTTAGCTGGCCTGGGCTGGGTTTGAACCTGCCAGCCTTGATGTGTGTGGCTGGAGCCCTACCAGCTGAGCTATGGGCACTACCCCTCTGATGTTCTTTTTTTTTAGATAGAGCCTCAAGCTGTCACCCTGGGTAGAGTGCTGTAGTATCATAACTCACAGCGAACTCCAACACCTGGGCTCAAGCGATTCTCTTGCCTCAGCCTCCCAAGTAGCTGGGACCACAGCTGGGACCACAGGTGCCCGCCACAATGCCCGGCTATTTCTTTGGTTGCAGCTGTCATTGTTGTTTGCTGGGCCTGGGCTGGATTCGAACCCACCACCTTAGGTGTACGTGGCTGGCGCCTTAGCCACTTGAGCCACAGGCACCGAGCCTCTGAGAGATGTTCTAATGAATTATTAAACTATAAAGGGTATTGTGTGAATCCACCCTATTCTATTTGGCTAACCTGAAGTATTGTAGCCCTTTTTTTTTATTTTTTGTAGAGACAGAGTCTTACTTTATCACCCTTGGTAGAGTGCTGTGGCATCACACAGCTCACAGCAACCTCTAACTCCTGGGCTTAAGCTATTCTCTTGCCTCAGCCTCCCAAGTAGCTGGGACTCGTAGCCCCATTTTGTTGCTTGTGTCTGGTGGTCTGGTGTGGGGGGCAGTCATGTGGGACCGAGCCCTTCACCTGTGGATTCTAATACTAATTCCTGATATTTACTATTATAATAGACTTGAACTTTAGGATATGTAGTTAGTGTCAGAGAGTTGGAGATGTGGTGTTGGAAAAGACACCACATACTTGGTTTGGGAAGAGAAAAACACTTTCACTTTCACATGTGCTTCTCAGTCACACCTCCATGTCCATTAGGCACTGGTAAAATCCTAGTTAGGCCATGTAGAAATAGATTCTTGTGAGAAAAGACCTTGAGAAGAGCAGAGTGTTCTGGGGATATTACAAAATAATTACATTTTCTGTCTGTTTCTCCGGTTTGGGAATAAACCTTTGCCCTATGACCTCAGTACTTTGATGGATCTAAGCTATTTAAGTTTGTTTTTTTGCTTGTATAGATGGAAATGACAGCTTCTAAGCTCCTTACTTGGCAGATCAGGCATTGGAAGTCTCTGACTTCATTTTTTATGATGTTTGACTGTTCACAGCTTTGAAACCTCATTCTATGGCTCGGTGCCTATGGCTCAAGCAGCTAAGACACCAGCCACATACACCTAAGGTGGCGGGTTTGAATCCCC